CAAAGAAGATGTCAATAGTATAAATTGCTCATACAGGACGGCAATCAGGTGCAATAGAAAAACAGATGGACGATGATGCAGAAGTGAATGTAGTGAAGCGATTATTGTGATGTTTTGTTTATTTTGTTCTTATTAATTTAAATGTAAGTGCTGTGGTTTCTATATATGTATATATGTACTTTGTTAACTTTAATGTTAATTGTGATTTGAAACCGAATTGTTTGTGTTTTTTATGTTTTGTTCCGAATAAACAGACTCCCTGATGAAGGCGGAAAAGACGCCTAAACGCGTAGGAGGATAAAAGAAAACTTTGTTTTGCTTTTTGTTTGACCGGACGCAAAATATTTTTCACAAACCTCTAATGGGAAAGCAGTGTGTAACTAAGCGTCTAAGCGTGTAAGCGTCCTTTCCAACGTCTTTTTGTAGATTTTATGGGTCCCTATCCTCGTACGTGTGATGGTAATGTTTGTGTATTTGTGTGTCTGGACCACTTCTCAAAATTCGTATTTCTGAAACCAATGCGAAAAGCAACTTCAGTAGAAGTCGTCAAATTTCTCGAACGTCAAGTCTTCTATGTATTCGGTGTGCCCGAATATGTCCACTCGGACAATGGAAGGCAATTCGTGTCGAAAATATTTATCAACTTTTTAGATAAGTACGGCACGAAACACGATAGGACCGCTTTTTATTCACCCCATGGTAACGCAGCTGAGAGAGTCAACCGATCCGTGCTGCAAATCATACTTTCATTCATAAAAGACAACCAAAATAACTGGGATCGTAATGTCAGCGATGCGGCTTTCGCGCTTCGAAGTGCACGCTGCATCATATGAGGCTCGCTGAAGGATGCTGATTGCGTCGTAAAGACCACTGGCGACAGAATGCAACTGATAAGAAATAAAATCGAGAAAGAGCTGAAGCTATCACACGAACGAAGCAAGAGAGTTTACAACACGCGAAGTAGAGAAGTTAGGTTTCAAATCGGACAAGTGGTATACCGCCGAAACTTTAGACAAAGTTCACAAATTGATAATTATAACACAAAATTGGCTCCGAGGCAAATTAAGTGCATAGTGTTGAAGGAAATCGGAAATTCTATGTATGAACTCGGAGATTCAAGCGAAAGAAATATCGGGGTATACCATGCTAAGGACATTTTTGAAAAATGAAATTTTTGTTTAATGTTTTGCAGTTAAATGTTCAATGTTATTTGTTTGTATTAGACCTGACTACTTTTATCGACCTTGACCTCGTTTATTTGTTTATTTTTAGATTTAATTAATTTATTTCATTACACTGTAGGTACATTTTAAGGTTTTGAAATATCACAGCTAAACGGCCAAACACGTAAACTTAATTTTGGCCTCTAGATTACGATGGCGTTTTCAGAAAATCCGTATCACGTCAAAATTTTGAGATATTTAGGGAGGAAGTTTTAGAGTTGTGAAAGTGAAATTTTCGTCGTTTAAAACACTGTGCTCAGGTGTTGAATTTTTTTCTGGGCAAAGGATTTGATAACTGATCTTATTTAACTGGGATCTTTTAAATTTAACGACTTCCTCCGTTTTTCCAGATTGGCTCTAGTTTTCGAGATAGCGGTGCTTGAAATCTGCTTGAATTTTAGTTTTTTTGTTAATAATTACCTCAGTTTTAAGGTTATTTTACTAAAATTTTGCACGTGACTGTATTATTACCTCCGCTATTTCTGAAAATCATGGAAATCGGTTCACTATAACATATAGCTCCCATACAATTGATTGTACAGATATGTGGTTTTGCGTTACAACTCATATTTTATTTCGTAATATTTTTTTATAATATTAGTTCATATACTATTTGGACCTAATTTTGGGTTCTCTTCAATCCCGTTTTGGCATATTTTGCTAGTTTCTATTGCTCGAATGATTTTTTTAATATCCTCTGCCTCCTGCGATCGACCAGCAAAAGTCCGCCAACATTGAATTCAATCGTTTTCCAGCGAATCGAAATCTCTCTCCTACCTCGTCGGTTTCTGTTAAAAGCTGTTGCTCGTAAAAGTCAAAGTGACTGTGTAGCACATGGATTTTAAGCGACATGTGCACATCAAAGGGGTCAAAGAATTCCATCAAGTTTTTACACAGAACGTATTTAATTAAAGCCCGAACTGCATCCCATGCAACGGCTGCTGTGCCATCAAGAATTCCCAAAAAGCTTTGATCCTTCATTAATCTTCTGATGTCCGGCCCATTAAGCACACCTGAAATAAAAATTATAGGGTTCTTTAAGCAAGAGAGAGATATTATAAAATATATGAGCGAAAATCTCTCAAATGGGCCACCCAAATTAGACGGTCAAGATATTTTCGCAAAAATCACTTTATTCGGTTTACAACCACTTGAGAGATTTTCACTCATATACAATCAAAAAACTACCTTCACGGATTTTTTCAACGGAAAAGTTTGGAAAAGCCAACTATTTGATGTAATTCTTAACAACACCAAGTTCGATATGTAAATCGGGAAGTATGATTTTATTAAGCGCTATCAAGGGCTCGTGAACTATATTGAATTGACCAATCGATTGCTCCTTTCTTTTTGGCCAATCACATTTGGTATAGTGATTGCATTTGGCTCTACTATCCCAATGACAGAACTAACAACAGTATTTAGTGTAGCCCGTTTGCATGCCTGATAGTAGTCAGAGAACTTTAAAATCACAGTTCACGCGCCCCCTGTGCTCTTCGTACTTGATGCAATCTAAGATTAATTGCATTGGCGCGTATTCATAGTCCAGCAACTAAGTCGAAACTAACAAAGTTGCAACTTAACTTTAAGTACCAACTAAAAATTTACCTCTATTCATAGTCGCATTTCAGACTTCTACTAGTAGTTTCGACTTAGTTCACGATATAGCAAAGCGAGTATGAAAATGTATCGATTTTTCTTTACGATATTTTGGAAAAATTACATTTTTATTAAATAATGTCTTGATCATCCGCTTATGTAATTTTAATTTTCATTGCATGAGTATGCAAAAGAATAAGGTATCATTTTCTTGTTAATTGTATGAAATAGCCAGAACAACCGCAGTGATGTGAAGTCGATGTTTATCGAAAGCATGCTGTGAAACATACAAATAGTAGATATCTAAATGATATGCTCAAATTTACTATAAAAGAACTAGCGTGAAACTGACTTATTATTTGAAAATTTATCTAAATTATTCCAATTATAAAATTGTGATGTAGCTTTATTCGAATTGTAATACGCATTTAATTTCATCTTCCGATTAAAATGGATCGATCTTTGTAAATTTTAATTGGAGATTATTCAATATTATCAAAATCACCCTCTACCAACTTAATTTTTACATATTTCGTCTGTTTTCCCTTAATTTGATAAAATACTTCTTCCTAGTTACGACTTAGTTGCAGCTGCAGCCGAAACTAAATTTTAAGTTGGTACTTAGCCAGAAAAGTCGAAACTAAGGCGACTATGAATAGCTTTAGTTGTGACTTAGAATAGTTTCGACTAATAGGCTGTTTTTGCTTACGCGTAAAAGCACATTTAGCGCATTTAGCTCTAAATGCTACTCTAAATGTACATTTATCCATACAAAATTCGTCACCTAAATGCAACTAAATGCAACTACATTTTTGCATTAAGAATCTAAATGCTAAAAGCAACCCTGTGATCTTCCAAAATTTCCACGATTCGAACATGGTTTAAAGAGAAAAAGTGGCAACATTGCTTTTTCGAGTATACAGTTGCTAGCTGCGTTTCAGTGATCGCCTATCAAGATTTCTTTTATTTTGCATTACATATTTGGATAAAGAAAAGTTAAGCAAATTCAACATCGATTTGATACTGATAGAAATCTGGATCAATTTGTGATCAACTCTGTTTGGTTTGTTTCCTAATTAAGTGAGGAAATTTTAATTGAATGCACCGACAAATAAATATATACACAAACAAATGTTCGGTTATGGTTAAAACAATTCAAGTTTTTGTATTGAATTTTTGGTTTAAAATTTATTTTTTCCTTTTCAGTAGGGTTTTTGCACATTATCTTCTGCGTGAGAATTGATCGCAATATATACGCATCTAAATAAGAGACTGGAACACGGCTGTTTGTCAAAAGCATACGATTTCGAACTCCCCTAAATGTACATTTGCTAAATGCTATAGCATGAACGCTCTTCGAAAACATATGTTCGAAAGTGCTAAATGTTGCATTTTAAATGCAGCAAAAACGCTGCATTAGTTGAGTACTAAATATGACTATGAATATGCGCCATTGTTTCTTATGATTCCTTTATTCCAACCGCATACAAGATGGGAACGGGTTTCTTGCTACTATCGCGATAGAGCAAGACTGCTTTCAAACTTCGCTTTGATGCGTCAATAAAGAGACGCCATTGTTCGGGTTTATAGTCAGTAATTCCCATTTCATTCATCAAACCTGCAACATCAATGTAATAAGCCCAAGTGCCATCTTCCGATAACTTGAAATATGGCATAAAAGGATCTTATCTTTACTTTTACTCCTGGTGCTAAAACATTCCCGCTTTTCAGTTCTGATGCCAAAATCATTGCGTTGTTAAAGCCTTGACAGATATATGGTTCATGTACTACACTACCATTGTATACTTGATGTCTGTCAATATAAACCACAATTATACCATCATGCAAAGTGGTTTAATGCTGGTTTCTATATTACGAAAATGAACGTGGTATAAAGCGAGTATACCATGAAACACAGCTAAACTAAGAGCTCTGACCATAAACACAGCTGCGAAGCTTCAAAATGACATTTATGATCAGCTGACATCAAATTGAAAATGTCTGCAAGATTTAAAAGGAAAGTGCTAGGCACAAAAGAAATAAATTGCTTAATTGAAGTTTGGTAGGAGCATATACATGAATTGAGAGGCGTTCATAGAAACGTTCATGTGTATGCTACTATGTGCACCAAACTCGAAACGCAGTATGGCATTTTGCTAATTACTCGTGAATTACGGACCAGGCTAAACAATCTCACCAAAAAATATCGGTAACTATGCTAGTTTGTTTTTCAATAAATAGATTTCAATGAAGTCAATGTGTTTTCAGTATTGAAAGAGCAAACATGGGGAAAAGTGGAGGGAGCCCATCGCTATGGCAATACTTCAACCAAGTCCACCAAATTCTTGGTACATATAAATCTATAAATTACAAAGAGCAGATGGACGAGAGCGCAGGTTTGTGTACATTTTATTTTGTTGCGTATGCCGACATATACTTTAAAAATATGTATATTATTTGCAGAGCATTGGGTCGTTGACGATCCGGATTCGTGGCCAGTAGAGTGCTTATATATAGAGACTGAAGAGTTAGTTATACCTCAGGTGCCCGAAAATCAGCCCATTTCTTCGTCATCCACCGCACAGCTTCCATCTTCGACATACTCTACTTCGCCTTCATCTCCATCTTCCTCAATGCCTCCATCTACGGCTTCCGTAGATAAATCGCTATCACCGGTAATCTGGCAGGATCAAGCTCAGCTAAAAAGAACAAAACAGACACCGACATTTTGGAAGTTGTACAAAAGGACCAACAAATAATTGAACATTTTTTAAAACAAACATTGGAAAATGATCAAAAAACAATTGATTTGCTGCAAGAAAATAATAAATTGCTGGCAGAACTTATAAAGAAATAAGTTGTATAGTACACGATGTGTACGACCGGGATCTACCCAGTTAATATTAAAATTAAAAAGTATTTTTGTTTTTCGTGAAGAAATTAAATGAATTAAAAGTTCATTTTGTGTTGTAAATTCATTTACTTTGATTTAAAAAATGTGTGAATGTCTGTGTGTCTTTTATAGGCCTAGGGGAAAAGTAGCATGTATATTATTTTGGAAAAGTGGGCGGCGCCACACCTCCAGGCGTTTAGATATTTATTTCAGACATTTAGTGCATTTTAGATGAAGTTATACCACATTTTAGAAAGGTGGGCGTTGTCACGCCTCATACAGTAAAACTGTTGCTGTTTTCTTTGTGTGCGCACCACGTAAAAACTACTACACCGATTTAAACGAAATTTGAAAGGATTTTAAGGAAATACACAAAGAAGGTTGATGTATACGTTTTTGCTTTTCAGCGCTGTTTTTGCATTCACCAAAGCATTTGCTAGTATTTTATTAAAAATATGTTCAACGAAGACTAAACATGTATACACATACATTAGTAAATATACAACTAAACTTACTTTTAATAAAATGGATCATCAAAGCATTCCTTATTTCATTTCCGGAGTTATTTCCTCGGGATGCATGATGGGGTGGTTGTCGTACCTTATCTTTACCAACTTCTATCCAATTTGCATTTATATGGTCATTATTACTGTTGAAAATATTGTGCAAAATGCAAGCAGCTTTGACAACAACGTTGACGTTCTTCATATGAATCTCCATGCCTCGCCCAACTCTTCTAAACCTGGCTTTAAGTTGACCAAACGCATTCTCTACGACACGACGGCACGAAGAAAGACGTTTGTTGAAAAGCTTTTCATTTTCGTTTTGATCAGCACTAAAAGGGAAGGGCTTCATTACAAATTTTGTCAGCCTAAATGCTGAATCTCCTATAAGCAAAACAGAGACTTCAACGCCCTCAATTGTTTTTGTATGTCGCTTAAATGCTTCATGAGATATCAGCTTCGACGCTTCAAATATTGCTGAATCATTGCTGCGTCCAGGTGCACCCACATTTATATAGGTAAACCTGCATCGATAATCCACGCTTGCAAAAAGTACTATAGAGTACCACCCCTTGTAATTATGAAAGTCAATAGCTTCATTTTTGTTGGGCTGCACTTCAATATGAGATCCATCAATGGCTCCATAGCATTGTGGAAATCCCAAACGCTCAAACCCCGATACAATTTCGGTTATTTTAGAATTTGTTGGAGGGTATGCATCAAAAGACACTTTTATCTAAGCCCGGCAAACATCAAGGACTATTTCTCCGACGGTGGATCTTCCCACACCAAATAAACTAGCAATAGTTCGATACTCCGAAGAAGAACCCAATGCGTACAAAGCTATACCCAGCCTTTTTTCCAATGGAATTGCATACCTCCAAAAGGTATCTTTTTTTCGCAAATGCTCCAATGACTTGACGAGGTAATCAAACGTGGCTTTGTTTACACGAAACTTGTTTTTAAAGGTTTCGTTGTCTAGTTTCGGAACTTCAACCTCCCAGTATGTGGATGCTTCAACCTGTTGGAAGAGTTTATTGGCATGAACATATAACAACCACTTTTATGTATGTACATATAAATTTATTTATAACAATACTCACGCACGTCCAAAAACGCCTGTATTTCTTTTTCTGTTTGTTAAGCATTAACAAAGTTCTTTTCCTTTTCAAGCAATTCTACATAAGAATTGCATTTCGCAAAGATATTTTCTTTTTTCGCATAAAATATATAATTTTATTATTATTGTTGATAATAGCGCCTAAAATTTTTCCCACTTCCATTTTTTCCGAATGCATATTACCAAATGTCAAAACAAAAACATCAGTATACGTACTAAAAGTCTGTCACATCGAAATAGTATCAAAATCCATAGTATGTATACCATGGTGTACAAACTACATGTCTGTCAGGGCTATTATGGGAGAGATTTAATTTACGCACCATGCTGTTTAGATGTTTCTGGGATATGAAAGACGGTAAATTGTTTTCAATCGGAATGTAATCAGATCCATCATCACGTGGTAATGGCGTTGCCATAGACTGTTTGCGATCATAGAGAGTTTAAAGTTCGGATGGATGATTTGGTACTTGTAATACATCACTATGTGCAACAGGTAACTGAGCGCTCGGTACACCTTTGTAGACGAAACAAGCCCGATCTATTGATTTAAATATTTATGAGTAAATGTACGTACATATATATGCATATATCGATGGCTGAGTGGAAGATCGACGTATCTCAGCTGCCGATTTAAAAACGCCCTATCTCAGCACTTTTTCAATGTATTTTGAGATAGGGCGTTCTTCAAAAAAATTCTGACATAGGATGTTTTTCAATAAAATCCTGAAATAGTGCGTTCTTCAATCAAATTCTGAAGTAGGGCGTTGTTGAAAAGTTTTCTGAGATAGGGCGTTTTCGAACTGGCTGCCGAGATAGGTAAATCTTCCACTCAGCCATCGATATACAAATGTTAAGTTTATTTGTTCGGCGGACAAAAACTAAAAAAGTTCTGTACCATTTTTTTTTTAAATTTGGACATCTGCTGCAGACTTTCCAAGGTTGGTTATACTTAGGCGCGGTACCTTCCAAACATACAGAAACTTTGACCTATTTCATACACTCAGCGATTAAGGTGAGGGCAAACTATACATAATTTCACGATTGTATTTATTTAAATTTACCTACCTTTCCATAGAAACCAAATGTATTGTTGGTGCATGCATAACAATTTTCAGCTTCGTGTTTTCCGGGATTTGTCCAAATCATTGGTAAAACGAATGGTAACGAAAATCATTTTTTTGTCCACCAAAAATTCATCGCACTAATGTACGAAATACATGTGAATTCGGGAGTGTATTTATTTTTTGCAGGTTCAGATTGCAAAAGGTACCATTTATAGCACACTAGTGCGTTTTTATTTGAGACTAATTTAGGCTGGCCTGATTTCAAAACGAATTTACCACAAGCGAAACAAACTTGTTTAATTTATTGCAAAGCTTATGAATTTTTTTCATATTTAGAAGTTTCCGAAGACAATGATATGATGAATAAAAGTTTTTCGCAACATTTTCGATGTTTTTTAATCAATTAATATGACAGTAATCGCGCGCGTAGATTTTCGGCTTGTGTTTTTTGGTTCAAAACTTATGTGAAATAGACGCGGTATACATAGACCGCCGCCGATTTGAAAGCATTACTCAGTCACTTTGGCGCGTATACATAGTCCAGCAACTAAGTCGAAACTAACAAAGTTGTGTCAAGGCCACCCTTAATAATACCTAACAAAATGCAACTCTAATATAACGAACGACACGAAGTAGATAGCGTAATGGGCTGTTTTTGCTTACACGTAAAAGCACATTTAGCGCATTTAGCTCTAAATGCTACTCTAAATGTACATTTATCCATACAAAATTCGTCACCTAAATGCAACTAAATGCAACTCCATTTTTGCATTTAGAATCTAAATGCTAAAAGCAACTCTGTGATCTTCCAAAATTTCCACGATTCGAACATGGTTTAATGAGAAGAAGTGGCAACATTGCTTTTTCGAGTATACAGTCGCTAGCTGCGTTTCAGTGATCGCCGATCGAGATTTCATTTATTATTTTACATTATTTGGATAAAGAAAAGTTAAGAAAATTCAATATCGATGTGATGCTGATAGAAATCTGGATCAATTTGTGATCAACTCTGTTTGTTTTGTTTCCTAATTAAGTGAGGAAATTTTAATTGACAGCACCGACAAATGAATATATACACAAACAAATGTTTGGTTATGGTTAAAACAATTCAAGTTTTTGTATTGAATTTTCGGTTTAGAATTTATTTTTTCCTTTTCAGTAGGGGTTTTTGCACATTATCTTTTCCGTGAGAATTTATCGTAATAGATACGGATCTGAATAAGCGACTGGAACACGGCTGTTTGTCAAAAGCATACGATTTCGAACTCGCGTAAATGTACATTTGCTAAATGCGATAGCATGAACGCCTTTCGAAAACATGTTCGAAAGGGCTAAATGTTGCATTTTAAATGCAGCAAAAACGCTGCATAATGGAGTCAGGGGAGTCGCGTTCGAAAAGCCGTTCATTAGAAGCTAAGCAAATAATTTTATAATTTAAATAATAATTTTTCATGATCTTAAACACTATTTTCATAAAATGAAATCCTGAAAATCAAAGTGCTCAGTTTTTATTTATACAAGCGAACAATTCGTACAAGCCATTCAGCGACCCTTTCTGACAACTACAATTCCCACGACAGCCGGTTCTACGTACCGGAATGACTCGGGTTTCACCCGACCAAGGGCTGTTGTTTCGGCGATCTAACCCCGTTTAGGTCGGCGAAGTATCTCAGAAGTTGTCCGTCCATAGGGCAACATTCACTACGCATTCTCCTACTCAGGGCTGGCATCGAGTCAAACCCTGGGCCAGAAATATACACCTGCTGTGTATGCCGTCGTGTTAATTTGCAAGTATGCTCACTATTTTAACGTTCTCATTCACTTTTGTAGGCGGATTCTAATCCTTACTTCTGAAGTTGTTGTTGTTGTTGTTGTAGCGGCTACAACAACCCCGCCCAGATCGGTTGGTATCTCAGTCGTTGTCGTCAAGTTCCACTAACGGCAACCCTAGGAAGCGTGCAGCTTCTGCGGGGTTTGCCCATAAGGACAAGGTCGTTAGGGATGTCGGGTTTGCCGGGCATGCGAAGAGATGTTTCGAGTCATGTGGGGTCTCTCCGCATGCCGGACATTCGTTTGGCACATCCTCATTCAGCCTACTCAAGTAGGAGTTTAACCTGCTGCAGTAGCCGGAGCGAAGTTGTGCAAGTGTAGTGCGCGTCTCCCGAGGCAGATGAAG